GGGAAATCACTCTGGTGCCGTGGCTAACACTGAAAATGCCACGTCACACACAGGCCTCATCTCAAAATGACTCAACACCTTCAAAAAACAGCTAAGAGGGCTCGAATCCAGACAAATACAAGCCGAAAAATGAAGAAGTACCTCATCAACAGGTTGTTTTTTTTAGCTGTCTGGTGTTTTAAGTATTAGCATCTACACTAACAATATATATCTTAACTGTGGCTAAATCAATGTTAAATTTGCAGTCTTGTCTCCTTTCCTCATCCTCTGTGCGCTGACCTTTGCATATGCAAGTGTTTGAATCCCCTCCGATCCGTTTGGACCGGAGTGAACTCTGTCTCTGGGAGCAGTCCCTCCCCGAGGCTGCAGCCGCTCAGCGTGGCACCAGCAACAGACTCTAAGACAACCAGAACTCACAAATTAACTCTTTACTTGCTAGCATAAAGGCTGGGATAAGCGAGGTCACTTTAACCGGGTAAAATGCCTCTAAATCAAAAGTTTGTGCATCGCCAATAGTTGGCCCCTCAGTGATCAAAAGTCAAACTATGAAATGCAGCAACTTCATTCGCAATTTTACAGCGACATCTTGTTCACCTCTTAGGCGTCCGGGGGTATTAATGTGCGAGAGAAGACACAGATTGGATTTGCCCTTTGATATCTGTGCGAAGCTGGTACTGAAGATGGATGGCTTTGATCTGGAGATGCTGACACATGGGTGAAATTTACAGCTGTGGCCACTTCAGCCTGATTGTCATTGCTGCCATCAAAGAGGACATAAAGCGTGCCTCTGCCTCGTAACAGTTGGGATTTTTCGCTCGAGAAAAATAAAATGGAGGACGTGAAGCAGAAGATTTATCACTGTGAAAGAAATGTGCATTGATGATACTTAATTTATGCTTTTATTTAAGATTCTGTGGGGAAAAGCTGAATCAATTGAAGCAATGCAGACATGGAGGTGTTAATGCTCAAACTGGGTGTCCAGAAATGTCAATACTTAATGGGCAGTACCCAGGAAATGTAATAGGCACAAAACTAATGATTTATCCATTTGTTACTTCCTTAAGCAGAAATAAAGTGAATGCTTCAAGTCAGTGTTTGGCATTTGGTTATTTCACTTTCCAAAACGGTACAAATCAGATGCCTGATGGGCCTCTACTTCAAATATAAAGCACAGAAAGTTCCTGAACTGTTTTGCGGCATGAATTGATTTTGTAAGAAAAAATAGAAAAAATAGAGGTTGAAATAAATAAATAGCTTTTTCCATGGATTTGAAATTCAGCACAAGTGTAAAAGTAGAGTGCTATAATTGTTCAATAATAGTGAAAATGCTTTTATTCCTAAAAAGCCGAATCTGCTATGGCTTAAGTCCATATTTAAAATCTACGATTGTTAAACATGAACCATTCCGAATAATGACAAAACATTTTTATCTTGTGACAGAATTTAAGTTTATGTATTATTTCAATAAACTGAATAATGCAGAAACCCTGAAACATCCTGAAATACCTTATAGTATCATAGTTATATTGCTCATGTCAATGGAGAAATGTTATTAATTTGTGTGTAGCCCTGACTACACGCTTTTTAAAACCTGCTTTAACAGCTGAAACACAGCAGAAATTGATTTAAGTTTGAGGAGTCCCACAGTGGACACTCTCTTACTGCATGTTGTACAAGCTGTGCATGTGACATGTGAAGAATCCTAAATCTCTCCTACAGCAGCCTGTGTCTTACACGAAGTGGAGGACGTTTCGTTTGCAGCTCTGCGCAGCTCTCAGCTCTGTTCCTGTGAAGTAGCTGCAGGGTGTCTGAGGTGAAACTCGAAATAGAAAGTTGAAGCACTCTTCAAGTTTCCGGCAAAAAGCGTGAGGGCTGTTTCGTAACGGGGCTTTTTACGGCGGATCTCGCATCGAGGATCCTGCCACACCTTCCACTCAGCAGCATTGCAGGGGTATAAATCTTTGAAGAACTGCAACCTGCGTCACGCATGTACACTCCGCGGCTGTCCCTCCCATTCGGGGGGCAAGAGTAGAGATGGGATAATCAGAGATGATCCATTAGGCTCAAGGCCTCAAGGGCTGGGCCTCCGTGTGAGGAGCCGGGATCAGGGTGTAAAGGTAACAGGAGGGTGTAGTGGCCCCTAATCCATCATATCTCCTTAGAGCACATTTGTAAGCAAAAGGACACATTTCAAATTTCAAGAAATAGGTCAAGGTTATGTTTTTGTAGGGCCTCTACTGTCCAAAAGCGACTTTTTTTACAGATAGGAGGAAGTAGCGGATTTTGTTTTTGAGGAAAAAAAGTTTTACAGCATCCATTAAATCTTTTTGTGGTCCAAATTTACCAAAACCTTTTAACTTTGATACCACTGTCGACAACAAAGATGTGAAATAAAAACCACCAGGGAGGTTCGACTTTCCGCTGCTGTTGCCGTTTTTTATTTCATCCTCATGTTCACCATTTTCTCCAAATGAAAATGTTGATTAAGACCACAAGACATGATCCAGTGCTCATAATCACTTATATATCGGATGACTTGTTAGATATTAAGTTTCCACAATGAATATTATTATTTGCCAAAATATAAAATGTTAAAAATTGTAATGTCAAATAAATCTCAGAAACAGTTGCCTTTAAATACAGAAGTTTGCAGTGTAAGCAGCACTGTGGTCTATCATGAGGCCTCTAACGAGTTATTTCAAGCTGCAGTGTTAGCAGGAACTTAAACTGAAGTTACAACACTGAATTGCATGGATTTATTTTGTATTTCAGCAGAGCATCTACTACCAGACTTGTGTTTAATATGTAAAAAAGACCAAATGAAACCATGTGCAGCTCCAGTAAAGTCGAATCTTTATTGATATGGTGTGATACAGCAATACATGAGTCTTAGTCACAGTAAAGAGAATAGCATGTCAACTACATTCAATCTCTATGCTTTTGATCTAATGGTAGTTATAATAAATACTAATGAAGAGATAATAATGATTAAACACCCCACTGGACTGAATCATACACATCGAACACATGGCCAGAAGCTTGCTGGTGGTTTAAGGCATTTTACATCCTACAGTATCTGTTCTACAGTATGGCAGAATATTTTGTTGTTGATCATGGATTGGTGAGATATTGTATATGTTGAAAATGCGTTTTCCATGAGTGTGCACTTAGAAAAATTTGGCAGTGCTGCAGTAGGGCTTTTCTTTTTGGTTTACAGTGTAAGGGTAAAGGCTTGGCGTTTGCAGTCCACTGAAATAGCGTGTGCTATAAAATGCTATTAGCTCTTTCTTTGCTTTTTACTTGATTTCGACCCTTCACACACCAAAAAAAAAAAGAAACACAACTTTCAGATTCCCCGCCTTCCCTTTCTGCCATTACAGTTAGATAGGCCATGGTGTAACAATACAAACACCAAGTACAGTACTGAGATAGCTGTCGTACACTTCAGGTGAGACAACCAAATCCAGAGCAGCTTACAGTACAATCTTTTTTTTTTTGTTTGTTTGTTTCCGTTCAGAGTGTGAGTGCAGTTTGTCAGGGCTTTAATCGCCGTGACCAGCAGCGAGAGGAAAAGATAGTTGTGTTCGAGCTGGCAGTGCACAAGCAGGAAAAAGAAAAAGCTCCAGGTGTCATACTAAAAGACTCCTAGTGGTGATGTCATACTACAACAGACGTTTTATCCAGTCATGGCCACAGTTAAGAAGAGAGAGGGCGAGTTGTTCGGGGGGCTCTCACTAAACTCAGCGTATTTTAGAGGTTGTTGGCAGAGCTGTTTTCAGCCTGAGTGATATGATTCTGGGGTTCAAATGTGCTTCATGAGAAATGTTTTTATGCTGCCTGTTTAAATATCATATCGCACCCAGATGGGCGGGTCTCACACAATCTCATGCATTTGTGCTAAAGCTAAATTTACACATCAGTCCTCATTTTTTTGACTGGGTTGCCTAGCCGACTCCATCTTACCTTTCAGTTTTGATTTTCTGCTTTTTTTTAACCACTCCTAACGCTCTGCATCCTTCATAAAAGATTGTGCAAACTCTCCATGATTTGCCAGCTAGCTTCCATACGCTATCTAAATGCTCCAAAGCTTAGCTTTATTCATGATATATGCGCTATGACCAGCTGAGAGCTGTGACCAGCTAAAGCCACACCCCATTAGGGACGTAATGGTGGCATCAAATCAAGCCCGCCTGTCAGTTAGAGTCAATAGCAGGTGCTGTGCATGGCGACGCTGATGAATTCCATGCAAGCATGACATCTACATGCAAATTCAGCTCAATTAATGCAATATTTTTTCACCGGTTCGCCTCAAATCTTGATCTGATGTAAATAGCTCTGGTTACTGCTTTTACCAAAGGCAGGCATTGGTGGGTCATAAGAGGTCAGTGCTCCCCTGAGGACGTTAATCCTCCTTCAAACTGTTGTGATGCAGAGATGGTCAGACTGCCGATGCGTCAGCAATCTTTGGAAAAAACCTACAGAAAGTGAATAAAGCTTTCACTCTAATGGGACTATTCATTGTGTCTGAATGGCACGTTTCCTTTAATCGGAGTTTAATTTGACCGCCTTGTTTTTGCTTTTGTGGGTGGTGTGCCTCCTCTCGGGGCTGTCACAAATAAGATTATGTGGTTTCTGTAAGTGACTGCAGACCAGAACCAGTCTGTGTGTTGCGAATGTTTTTTTTTGTTTGTTTGTTTGTGTGTAAACGAGCACCATTACGGACACACACAACATGCTTCCCTTGGAATGTGTTGAGAGTAATTCACAGCTTGTGGTATTGATGCATGACCAGAGTTATTAGCTACTGAATGTCGGTTCGCCATTTGTGAAAGAGGCCAGCGGAAAGTTGATAGTGTGAAAGACCATTCTTTTGAAAGAGATGCTACCTATGTGCCTGTTAGGGTTCACCACTGAGTTTGTGAAAGAGAGAAATTGAGAAGAACTGTATTGTGTTTTAGTGTGATGGTTATAGTTGAGCCGGAATGGATTTCCTTTAGGGATCACCTGTGGGAGAGAAATGGGGAAAAAGTCAAATCTATAGAGCTTGCACTCTAATAACTTGTAGACATCCGACATACACATTATCTTTTGTTTTTTGTAAGGAGATAGAGAGAAGTACGGGTTGAAAATGTAAAGGTAGGTTTAAGGGGTCAAGAGCAGGCTTACAGTAGGCTTTTAGTTTTTCTGATTGGTGGTGTCCTCGTGCTGCTTCTCCATCTTCTTGGAGGTGACGACTGTCTCCTCGTAGACTTCACGCTGGGACACCTTCCCACCGGACTTGATCTGCTGCTGCTCCTCCTCTTTGCCCTCCTTCTTTGAGCCCTTGCCAGAGCTGGTGTACATGCGGGTCTGGTAGCTGTAGCCCTGCCCACCACCCCCACTCATGGAGGGGCTGGGGAAGGTGATTCCCGTTCCAATGCGGGTCTCCTCCCCTTCCAGAAGTTTCCTGGAGAGATGGGGACACAAGAAGTGAGTTATAGATAAAGAAAATAGTGTGCTCCCTATCTTTACGTGTTATCTTTGATGGGGACTTACCTGTACGCTGCAATTTCAATGTCCAGGGCCATCTTGACATTGAGCAGATCCTGATATTCCCTCAGATGACGGGCCATTTCACCCTTGGTGGTCCTCAGCTCATTTTCCAGCTCTACCATGCTTTCCTAAACAAGAGTGGTACACCAAGGTTCAATGTTTTAAAGTTCAAATTGATGCTCTGTTGTAAAAGCTTAATAAAGACTTCTCTATCCTATTGTTCAGCTGGACATGTTGTGGTGAAGTGTTGAAGTCATTTATGGGTAAAAAGAAAAAAGAAAGTGCATATGTTGCTCTAATAAAAAACAATTCAACCAGAAGGATTAATTAAAGGCCATTACATAAGGAAAATTAGTCATTTGGATCATCAGTATGCATTCAGTGGGCGTTGTCAGATGCAGCCTAACGCGCTCTCAGGAAAAACGGTTTCAGCACCACGGACAGTGCCCGAAAAATAGCGGCTGTCCCTGAGTTGATTCAGAGCTGAGATATTTATATTTCTTCACAGGAACTCTAGACTGAGCATTGACAACTTTGAAAATACAAACTAGCGAGAGTCAAATGAACTGAAATAAAAGCTGATTTCAGTTTCCGTATGAGCGAGTCTGTACAAAGAGAATTACCTGGTAAGTCCCAATCTCCGCGTTGTGCCTGTCCTCCATCTCTCGGAGTTGCTTTTCCAGAGACTCGTTCGTTCCTCTCAGGCTCTCTATCTCGATGGTCTTGGACTGCAGCTGCCTCCTGAACTCGTTCATCTCCTCTCTGCTCGCGCGCATGGCCTCGTTACTCCGGTTGGCCTGGTCGGACAGGTCCGCGAACTTGGTCTTGTACCACTCCTCGGCGGACTGGAGGTTCTTGGACGCCATGGACTCGTACTGGCCTCGGATCTCTTTGAGGGCGGAGGTGAGGTCCGGTTTGGACACCTCCATCTCGACGGACACCTGAGCGGCCTGGATCATGTCCGACAGCTCGGCCACCTCCTCGTCGTGCACCTTCCTGAGGAAGCTGATCTCGTCCAGGAGCGACTCCACCTTCTTCTCCAGGTCCAGGCGCACCATGGTGGCGTCGTCCACGTCTTTCTTGAACGCCTTGAGGGTGGCCTCCGCCTCTTCGCGGGCGTGGAACTCCTCCTCGTACTTCCCCCGGAGCTTCTGCAGTTCGTCGTCGATGTTGTCCCTCTCGATCATCAGCTGGGACTTCTCGCCGTTCAGCTCTTCGAGCTGAGAGCGCAGTTCGCGGATCTCCTGCTGGTAGAGCTCGGCCAGCCTGGAGGGCTCCGCCTGGCGCTGGCGCAGCGCGATCAGCTCCGTCTCCAGCACTTTGTTGTGCTGCTCCAAGTTGCGCACTTTGTCGATGAACATGGCGAAGCGGTCGTTGAGGCCCTGCATCTGCTCCTTCTCGTTGGTGCGGATGATCTTGAACTCGTTGTTGAGCACGCTGCTCTGGGTCAGGTCGAAGGTCTCCAGCGGCATGGAGAAGGAGCGCCCGGACTTTCGGCTGTACGAGCCCAGGGAGGACACGTTGGTCCGGGACGCGGAGGAGGACCTGTAAGCTCCGCGCGAGGACATGCTCACCGGCGCGCGCGACGGAGAGGAGGAATAACGGGGAGAGTCCCCGAAAACCCTCCGGTAGGAGGAAGCGGAGAACATGTCAGACCCGTAGTTCATCATGGCTCGTGTGGAGACAGTGAGGAGCGCGCGGGGGCTGCTCCTTTTTATAGGGGGGATCGACCCAATCACTAATTAATGCCGGACCCGGTTCGGTCCTGATACGTCAGCTTGTCTATAGGCTGGATGTGTGAAACATCACAAATAAAAAAACTTTTAAAGAAATTGTCAGTAAATTAGCCATCAGCCTAGATGTGAGATATATTCTCTTTCTCATGTGGAACAGATGGAACTGTCCGTTTTTGCGCAGTTGTGCTGCATCCCTGGGCCCACCTGATCCAAAATTAGACATTTAAAAGAAATCAAATGAAGAAGAAAATTCATTCCACCTGCAGATCACAAATTTTATTGATAACATTAATAAGAAAAACTCCACTTTGTCCCCGGTTCTCTTTTTTTTCTTTTCTTTTTTTAACGATGACCGTGCAGTTTTCTTCTAACCCCTTTCTTTTGCAAATGCGTAAATGAATAATTTGTTGGCTGGCTGAAAATTGTCTCCACATGTAACGCTTCCCATCATCTCTGTTTGAGCATTTGAGAGAGCTGCTCTATTTTTAAAAATACAAAATTACATGTAAAACAATCTCAATCCTTCAAAAAAACATTTTTACAATAAGATGAACAAACCTTTCACTTTAATGTGGGAATTAGGTTAGAGACTCACGCATTTTATTTGGATATTATGTGCACCAACATATGGAGATTTTACATTTAGTGAGAAAACCGTTCAGTCAATAATAAGGCTGAAAATAACAAGATATTTCTGATAGTGTGACTGTAATTCTTCTGAAGAAAAATATCGTTTTGTTTAATTTTACTCCAACTTAACATGTGTTCTAACAGTTCCAGAGGATAATTTGAAGAGCCTGGTGAAAAGAATAGATATTTGCTGCCCCCTGTTGTCTAAAACAGCACAATTGTTCTACCGGAACTTCACCCTGAAAACTTACCACAAAAAAGAAAATAAGGCAAATCAAAATGACCAAGTTTCAAGTTTTCTATCCAAGATTGCAATGGCCTAAACTGGTGGGTGAAACACAGAGAAGACATGGGAGCAGATTTAGCTGGATAAAGACAACAACATTAAATAAAAAACCTTTATACAGAGCTCCCTGTTGTGTGTTCTGCTTGTCTGCAGGCTAATGTTGGTGGTGGCAAAACCAGACTGTGGAAGTACGATTCAGTTTCAGGGACCTGGAAGCTGAGCAAAGCAAAAAAGCAGCCACAGACAGAGCGTCCCTTTTAAAAAAAGCCTCCGGGGCTGATGTGGCTCCAGAGAGGGGCAATGGTTCATCTTGCAACATAACAATGGTATGCAGCAGTCGAGAGGCTGGAACTGCTGGTGCCATTGTAGTTTCACAAACTGCCTGCTCTGATCTTTTTATGCTGCATGAATTCCAAAGATAGAAAGGACTTTTAACCTTTTTTTAAAATAAAATGACACAATTTACACCTGAAAGAAAATTAAAAGTACAACAATGAAAACCTGGTTGACATGAGATCATTAACTAAACCCCCCCTAAACAGGCTAATTTGTCAACACTTTTTAACAACTTCCATGATGGCACGCTTTATTATAAATCATTTTGAACAGTCACATTAATGTTTTAAAATGAGCATTTTGCCCCATGTTGGCTGCAAAAGAAGTAAGCTTGAACTATTTGCACCTCAAACAGAAAAAAAGCTGATGAGCTGCTTGTTCTCACATACTGCAAGCCACTTATTCATGCCAAGAAGGAAAAACCTTTATGGCACCTGTAAAAAATAGTCACAAATCACTCATTTTAGTTTTATGATGAACATAAGACGCAGGTGCCATGCTAAGTTAGTTATCTCTCATTGGAATGGTTGTCCCTACTGAGTGGCATGTGAGGATAACTTTGTGACTCTATCTCCATAGGCCAATTTTATGACTTGTTTTCAGTCTCATGATTAGGAATTACAGATAGCCTATTATGAACCATAAAATTCAGAACATTTACCTTTAGAATGAGACAATGACATCATCGGGTCTTTCCTAAATCTGCTTTTAAAAATTCAGTATTTGTACTGTCTTACTCCCATATCATCAGGAGAATAATTGGCATACTTACAAAAGTGTGCTACGTGAATGAGGGTACTTATGTGTCAGAAGGGACATGTTTTGAGGAAATAGAAATGACCTGTGTGATTGTGATGAGCAGATAATTGTTCCTGGGGGGTTTCTGTAAGAAAAAGAGAGTTTTCCTTTTCCACTAGTATGACTTTGCTATTTGATCTGACATATTTTCGTGCAATTCTGAAAATGTTAGAATGAATTTGTGCAGGGAAAAGTGCACTGATGGTTATCTGAAATTGTTACTGTGCAAGATTTGGCCGACCGTAGTCACGTGTCTCTGCCACGAAGACAGAGAGGCCCGCCTCTTTGTTTTACACAGAAATAAACGCCGCCCTCTGGACGTCTCATAACAACAGCTGGCCGCTCGTACAGGCTGTGGAGAGCACTCAGAGCACGGACACTCATCTGCTGCCAAGCTCTGCAGACTACCCACCGCCGCTTCGCCTGTAGCTTTCTCAGAAAAATACCCCCTCTTTCTCCCACTTTCACTCAGCCCACGGCGCATGCTCAGACTAACCGTCGGCGCATTTTGTTTTATTCAGGAACTCAGAGGTGAGTACAGTAACGCCAGTCACAGGGGAAAAAATCTGCAACGACAGTTTGTGCCTATTGTATAATTTTCTCTCTATCGGAGGCGGCTAACGTACGGGCATCTGTCCTGACCACTTCCCTTCTGGCTGTCCTTCCCACCAAGTGTCAAATAAAAGCAGCAGGGTTAGCTGAGCGTTAGCTAGCTTAGAGCCACTTCGTCAAATAAGGAAACGGTTGTTTGAAAAACCGTCCGAACAAGGTGTTCCTCGCTGCTGTCGCGTCTCTTAGCTAATATTTTCCCACCGCTGGGAATTGTTATGTAGCTTCAGACAATGCTGAGCAACAACAAAAAAATAATAATAAAGGCCGACCGGTGAACATTATGTGTGTTGTAACAACCAACGGTTTTCCGCTCCGGGCTGGAGAACTCCGTCCTCCGTCCAGAGCCTCGCTCAGACCTCACGAGCCCCCTTTGTGAGCCAAGGTGTTATAACCACTCTAGATACGGAGAACCGGAGCCTATTTCCGCTGTTATGTCGCGCGAATGGCCGTGCACGGATCGTATCGTTGAGGACAGACTGTGGGAAAGTGGCGTGCAGCTGTTGTTTGGTCTGCGCGTTGGTCAGGAAACGGTCAGAGGTTTGTCAGCGTTTGTGGCCCAGCTGACAGCCCTCTGCTCGGGCGTTTAAAGCTCATTTGCATTTGTGCTGTCACTGAGCGAAAGAAAGCTGATCTGTGCCCCTTCCTTCCTGCTGATTTCCCAACCAGGTTGGAGAGGTAGGAGGAAATTACACATCACCGACCACAGAAACTAAACGGAACAACAGGACTGAACAAAAGAGTTTAGAAAACGTTGTTTTTTCTTTCTCTAATTTTCTAAATCCTCCAGGTTGTAGTCTGAGTAAGATTGATGACTTTTCAATGTTAATGGTGTCACAGGGTTTTATTTTGTTATTCAAATATTTCCACTCAGCCGAGCTCTTTCATTAACATGTAATCTATTGTTTTTGCAGTTTAATGAAGCCATAAGAGATGACCTAATTGTGAGATGCTGATTGCATCAGGAGGGTCTATTGTTTCTGTTGACAGGAGCTTTGTTGCTTTATCTTGTTTCTGTAATCTAAAATACGTTTCCCCAGCGTTGATTGAACATATCCCACCCTTTTTTTCTTTAGTAACTTAAGAACACCAAAATCAATCGATTCATTTTTCTGCAGACACTGAACGGTTCTAATGATGACCACCTCATGGAGTGACAGACTGCAGAACTACGCAGACCTTCCCGCAAACATGGACGGCTTGGCAATGAAAAAATACAGGAGGGAGCCCTACCACAGGTAATAAACATATTTGTACAGAGATAAATGAGCTCCTGGAGGAGATTCACCTCTACTGAATATAGTTTTATGGCAGAGGTTGTGAAAAGTACCGTAAGCACTAACCAAGTTAACTTCGAGAGAAATCTACTGCACACGATGAACTGAAACCTAATTATCCGAAAGGTCAGTCGGAGAAACACGAGGAATTTGTCTCATTATAGATTTATAGGACGTAGTATCGTAATAAAATAAGAGCCATCTTCATTCCTTGTGTGCTCACAAAAGCTTTGAATAGCTCTATATGATGTAGCCTTTTCAGCTCTGGAGTTAGATAAATGTTTGTGCCGTTATATACAAACCAAAGGGGTTGACAGAGATACTCTGTTTTGCAAAGTACTGAGAAAGTTTTAAGCTATTGTCTTTTTTTCTTTGGCTCTGGCGCTATCAAATTGACTCTCCTCCTTTTTTCATTCTTTAGACCAAAGTAAATGGCAAATACATTTAGAAAATGACCAAAACAACCATAAAGATTGTAGTGTTTTCTAATCAAATAATGCTCATGTTTACATCCCCCCCAGTGCGACTTGCACATTCTGATTCAAAGCAGTCACTTAAAAGAGAGACTAGATTTATTTGATAGATTTTGGTACTTTGCAGTTGTTTGTTATCATTAATTGATTGTGTCACAGATCTTGTTTCCCCTCCTTAAGGAGGACAGAAGTGTCTTGGTTATGAGACATAGTCAGGTTTAAAAAACTGAATCATTATTTACAATTGGCCATGTTTTTCTGGATGAGATTGTACATCCAGTCAGTTATTTCTTGGGTGGGGAGTTATTATTTTCTTCTTTTTGGCCCCAGTGCAGCTTTTTCTCTCTGCCTGATGGCAAAATGTCAGCAGACTTTTGAGCCCTTTGCAGAAATCCACCCATTTAAACTTGTGGTTGCTTGTAGTCAATGTGTCTTTGACTCTTTTCTCTTTTTCATGGCTCTCAGACGCCCTTGTTTCCAAACGTCCCTGCTGATGGGGAAACACCCTGCAGAGGAACAGGCCGATGTTCATTTGTTGGCATAGTAATAACATGTCTGTTACTGCTTAATAATTAACTCACACTCACATGTACATTGGGTGTTGCTGCTCTGTCGTGTCGTTCTGTCATCCGTCATGTTCAGATGCTTTATGAAACCTCCACTTATCTGTTTGGTTTGTGTGTGGTGTGTTGTCAGGACAAAAGTCAACCAGCCTGAGACCCCCCCCCCCCCTTTCCGTCCACGCCACCTATGCAATGCAAAGCAAAAGCACTAAGTTCCCCATCAGTTGAGTCACATGTAATTTGAATTGGATTGTTGGTTTATCACACAGATGGACAAAGATCACTCCTTCTAGGCAGGAGCTCAGATTAAACAATGCGTCCTGTGTGTCGCAAGGCAGGGGGCCGATGACTCTGCCCAGCACAGATAAACTTTCTATCACACAGAGTCCGGCCTCTGTCTGCCTGAGATTAGAGGGGAGTGGAAAAAATCGGACAGATTGTTTCTCAGTTGCGTTCGGATGGATTAAAAGTTATTACAGGATATGCTGGTAGGTGCGGCACGGCCCATGACAGTTATTTGAAGTAACTGATGTCAGCTAGACCAAAGTCGAGTGTGACTACAGTAATCAAAACACCCCCACCCTTTGGCAATATGTGCTGGCTTAAGAGAGACACAAGCTATCATTTATGGCCGTTCATTGCCTCCCACAGCTTTCCAGCAAGAGGTTGCCTTTTAAATGTCAGCAGCACAATAAAAATAGGAAAGATTTAGCTTTAAATCCTTCCCCTGAAAAGGCTTATGTGGGAAAATGTTGACAGTAATGTAGCACATAAGCTTCAATTGTTCAGGATTCGGTGTTCCTGGACCAGTATTATGACATAATGAGATTTAACAGCCAACTGGATACATGTCAAAAAACCAGAACTGAAACTTTGCCTCTAATTTCACGGATAGTTAATATTCAAATGAACCCCAAATGTTCATTCACTGGATCTGTTGCTAATCTATGGTGGCTCAGCAGTAAAATTCAAACAGTTATATTTGTCAAAATTGCGTACAAGTGCCATGATTTGTGAGTTTAGAAACTCAAAATTTATTTTTATATTGAGAAGTCAGATTTATAGTTTTCCTTTTTTTTTGTTTCATTTGCAATGTTAATTTTCTATGAAAAACTAAGTGTATAGAAGACACCTTGGCAGATCCATCAGTTAACCTAGAAATCTTCTAGATCTTTAGCCAAAGTCACCAAATGACATAATCAGCACATAAGAAAATGTGAAAAGTTCTGCGTCACAAACTTTTAATCACTTCCAAAAAATCAAATCACTGGCCTGCCAAATGAAAGGCTTTGTTTGGGGGTGACCTGAGTGATGTGAGCAGCTGTGGCTCGGGGCTTGATTCTGCCAGACTTGTGATTGTTCTGGATGTCTTTGAGGGCCCACAAACATCGTGCCGCACAACAACAGCTCTGACTGACAACACATAACAACAGAGAAGGACGCGGAATGGCCACAATCGTTTTTGCAACAAGTCAGAAAATTTCTGAATGGCAAGAAAGCAGAGAGAGAGGGAGTGGGGGGGGGGGGGGGCATTGTTGGTGGACCAGAGCTGCTCTGTGCCGCTGGAGCCGATCACACCAATGCAGAGTCAAACTGAGATTTAATTTCACACAGAATGTATTGCCAGTCGTATCCTGGACTCAGCTCTAAATGGGAACTTGTCCACTATGGATCTGCTGCCAGGTATTTCACAACTCATTTAGAGGCCGCTGGGGCCGAGAAGGCATTTGTCACAGTCAGAGGGGAAGAAGTCGTTTTTTCTGCATGTTGAAGGCTATGAGCTCACAAGTGTTTGAGAAAGTTTTTCTTTCTCTTTTTTTTTCATTGTGCTATATCTGCTTTCCTATTGGCTGATCCACGTCTTTATTTTTTGATATGGTTAAATATTGACTTGTGTGGAAATGTTTTGAGGAACACAGATAGAGATTCAGCTCGGTTGTGACTGTTGAGGATAAGTTGTGTAGCTCTGTGCCAGCTGGTCCAGTTAAAGTAACAAAGATCAACTGCTTTCTCTGTGTCAGCCGGGCTAAGTAAACATCAGCTATGGCTGTTTACTTGACCTGAATGTGAACTGAATTATACTTTTAATTCCAAGGAGAAATTGGGTTGTTGTGGTGTCTGTATCATGGCAAATGGCACTGCTCTTTATCAGGATGTTTTGTGAAGCTGTTGTCCTGTTTTTGTCTCTATCGGCTCCTTAGACCACAGAGCAGTCCTCACCATTATTATTCAGTTTGTTCAGCACTGCCCGAACAGATGGCTGCACAGATGATATTATGTTTCCATGTTTTCAATTTAATCAGCTGTATCTGTTCATTTCTTTCTTCTTCTTTTTCTAATGACATGAATGTGTTGAAAGGAAGTTGTGGAACAACGTTATTAACATAAATGTGCTGCTTGTTGTGTTTCATAACACACTGCAGAAGATATGTGACAAATATTCAGAGAATTTACTACATTTTTTACATACTGCACTTTTTTTTATATGAACATGTGAAAGGTAGAATGTCTTTGTAAAAGAAGAGGAAATAAAGAGATAATTGTTTCTGAGCTTCCCCTTTACTAATCACTGTGATATGTACTCCGCTACATGTGATGCAAACAGTGGAATCAGAGTAGCTTTGTTGGATAAACTCTGTGATACATCTTTTTCTGCTTCGGGCTCCTTTTCCACCACAGTTTTACGCTTTAAATGTGCATCTCAGTAGACACGGGGGTCTTATGCTTTTAACAAACTAAAGTGGCCTCTTAAAAAGGCCATATAGAATCATACGTAGTTCATTATTACATTGCAACTAAAATAATTTCCTCATCTTTTATTCTCTAGAATCTTTGTCAACAGAAGCTTGGCAATGGAGAAGATTAAGTGCTTTGGCTTTGATATGGATTACACTTTAGCAGGTAAGTGGAATACACATTTATCACTATTACACATTATTTTACACATTATTTTATTACTACTAGCAAATAAAGAGTGTTTAAAAAGTCACCTAGAAAGAATCCATGCTCAATAGCTTCTGTTTTTTAAATGGAGTTTTCCCCATTATCTGTTTGTTATGACTTTTTTACTTTAGATTTTTTATTCAACACAGAGCTGAAATGCTGGAGTACAAAATGATATTCATTATTATTTGGAGGTTTCGAGCCATTTTCACTTTCGAATAACTTTTTTTTAGTTTGTTGATGACCTAAATGACTCTCCAGCAGTTTTAGTTTTGGAAAACAATTCAGTGTTCACTACTAGCATCCAGCCCATCTTTTAGATAATAATGTGTAATATTTAGTCCAGAATAATAAAGTCAAATACGTGACATAATGAAAGGAAAGATTTGAACTTAAAAGCTCAGTTTCCTGACTCTCAAAGTCAGCTGTGTGTATGTTCTTTTGGTCACTGACCGAAAAATGGGCCTTACTTATCCTGATATTTCATGCTATTTAGTTCTGGTCCTCAGCTCCAGTAGTTGGTCTCTACACGTTTAAAAATAGACCTCCCCTGACTTTGAGAATGGGGTCGCATTTGTTTGTTAAGTTCAGCAGTGGTGGCTCCCCTGAGAAATGGATTGGGTCATAATTCCTCTGTGGCTCTGTACCCTTATTCATATCCAGACTGTGGGAGATCCAGCAGACGCTCAGCTGTTGACATGGCTCACTTTATGAGAACTCGTAACCAAGTGTTAATGTTTGCTAGAAACCTGGCTATCATGTATCTTTGGACGGTTTTCATGTTTCGACCGCAGAGGTGCCCCATCAGTGGTTGCTTAAGAGCAGGGCCCTGCATGACAGCAGTGTTTGTTTTAGGAGTTCACATGTGCAACATGCCTGACCACTGTCCTTTTAAAGGAAAAACAATTCACAGAGGACTAACTTAATTGGAAGATAAACTTGATGGCTTTATTTGGTGCTGACATGAACCTAAACAGACTATAGGAATGCACTGAAAACTGCTTTGATTATTTTAACTGCTTTTGTGACGTTCTGAAGGAGAGACAAGTTTGCAGATCTTCAAACGCTTGGTTAAACCAAGGTGTCTCACTAAATGATACAAAAGCAAGCTAAATATGTTTTTGTTAACGTTTGTTTAAGTTATGGTGACAAACACACTGCATTCCAGAAAGCTGTAATACAGAAACTATTTGACATGCCATGCCTTTTATTTTTAGCTGGGCTTCTCCACATAGCCTCTAAATCACCCCTAAATGGTCTGGACGCTCAGATAAAAGGGACCAACATCTGTCTGTCTTCATTAGAATTAGCACTTATTTCCACGTATTTAAAAGTCTTTTCATAGCATTGCAGTAAAATAGCAACTCGAATAGCATTATCTTCCTTGTACATATCTCATCATTGTGTCTTTGATCATAAAACAGAACAAATCTATTGTGAATGTAAATAACTCCAAAATGCTGAAAAGACTTTAACACGATCAAACATACACTATCTATATGTCTTTTCAAAAACCAAAGAAAAAGACATATATGTTTTATGTGTTTTGGCTTTTGAATGGTTTGTCTGTAGTACCTCGAATTACCATCTAAATTGGGTTTGTAACTACGTGGGAATGTTTTTTTTTAACCTTGTAGCAGTTCTCAGAGAGACATTCATGCCATTTTCTCAGGCCTTCGTGCCACCACTTCAATGTCTCCTCTTCTGAAAACAAATTCAAGCATGACAATGCACACCCTAAAAGGGGAAGGCGTCGTCTCACAGAGCAGCAGCAAGTTTTAACCAACCAATCCGACTATGTGCCAGCCTGAAGCCAAGAGTTGATCAGGAGAACAAAGCTATAAAGGGTTTGCTCTCATTCTTTGATGATAGATATGGTCTAAAGTTCATATAGAAGTAGCTACCACGCCAAAAGATATCCCATTGTCCAATTGGAAGCTTTTACTCTGCGTAGCTGCATGAGCACAGATCGTGCAAAAGGCAATTCTAGCTGCTTTACAGCTGCATAAGATCAGAAAACGCTAATTAAAACAGAAGAATTGTTCATGTTATCAAAGGGAGGCGTGCAGATAAACTACTTTCAGTTGACTTATGTGGAGATAAACTGTTCTCAGCCTGAAGTTAAACATTGTCAGAGTTGAGGCCTGTTGCACTTCTTCTGGAAGTCGGTTCCAAATTTTAGTAGCAAAACACAGATTTTTAACACCGGACACTATTTGAAACTCAGTCATGTAAAGGGTTTTTAGGCGAAACCTTTCCAACATACATTCAGTGTTTTCCTGTAAAAACGCTGTTTCTAATCATGTGGAAACACGACCCCTGACTCTGATCAGAAGTGTCAGTGCTGGCAGCAGAAGCACTGCATTTTTCTCCAAAAGTAGGTCAGTTATTTTCTTTACATCTCCTGTTACCAGCTGAGCCTGGAATACGCTTCAAATCAGAGAGACAAACAGACAAAAATGTAATGCAGAAAACAGAGTTCAACTTTTCATTTTCTAGTTCCTAATTTTGGGCTTTTCCAATGGAGTGTTTTGGGCCTTGGGCTGGTCTACGACCAATTTACATAAAGTTAATGATGCGTCTTGTCTTGTGTGGCATGTAACCAATAACCAGCTTTGATTTTCTTTAATTAAATGTCCCACATAGCTAGCTAATGCAAATTTTGTAATCTTTGTGGGAGGGTTTTATCTTTATCAGCTCGTACTGCTCAGTCCTGATAACATTTGCTCAGCACACTAAAAGTAGAACTCAAATATTTGTCCACTGGGATTTCTTTGAGAGCAGCTAACAAATGCCTCACCTTTTGTAATATTTTGTAAAGGATATCAATCTTGTTTAGAGGAACATTGCCTCTTGTGTTCTTCTCCTAACGGGAGCATGTAATAGCCTGCAGAAAAAGCCACTCCAACACATTAAGGCCCGGGCTGCATGAGAGATACTAACAGTTATGTCCTAGTTTTCCAACAGACTTTGGGCTGGACTGTTGCCCCTTGAGGCAGGGCTGAAGTTTTCTAATTTTTCCACAATATGCCTCATAGGGTCATAAATCTATTACAAAGGCCTACATTTGCACACTTGTGGAAACAGATAAATTAAGGCGAATATTGTTAGCCACCGATATAGACTGCTATGTGACATGGTTCCGATAAAATCTCCCCATTTGACGCACTTGGATTTAGTGCTCTATTAGAGGAAGGGATTTGTATGTTTGGCTTGTGTGCGAGCAGTGTACATTACATGTGGTGACATGGCCTATAAACTCTGGAGAGACATCACACTTTTCAACAATCGGAGCAGCGGGAGTATAATAATGTGAAAACAATCCCACCAGGGATGAAAGGTAACATATTTCTCCAGCTAAAGTCCTCTCTCACCCCAGTTCCAAGGAGACGTATGCTCATTTTTTGCACGTCTATGATGACAGCATGAGGAATGTGAGCGGGGGGGCTCGCGGTAGGGAAGAAGGGACCCCGATAAAGCAGAGACGCAAGGATGTCAAGGACACAACAAGCACCAATAATGCAATTTCCTGTCCACACATGCATGCTGGAAACATGAGCTTTCAATATGCTGACTCAGTTTTTTTTTTTTCTCAGGCCTCCTTTACCCAGGTTCTGCTCACAGTAAATTAGCCTAACTAAAATCTGCCCGTGAACATTGTTGCCTTAATGAAAAACAGCTCTATAAATCACTCCTTGGCCCATGGCTCAAGCCTCCAGGAATCTGATATAGTGAGTGGCATCTTAAGTTACTTGTGAAAAGGATAGACTGCAATCCTCCGGGTGTCATGTGACTGTGGGAGCTTAGGGGGGGTTGTTTTTCAAGTTTGTGAATAGTAAAAAAAAAAAGGGCCATTACGAAACAGCCTCTGAAACAAACAGGCTAAGCTGTATGTTATCAAAAAGATACAGATAAAGACATTTTTCTGCCTTTTTGTCTTTATTTTGCCATCTGACGTTGCATGAAAACATTTCTATACAAAAAATAGCAACAAACAAAAGAACAAAAAAACAGTAATTTTGTCTAAATTATTTTTTAGTTCAACAGCGGTACCTGAGGTGTTTCGTACAGACTTGACAAAAAAGGATTCACTTTTCTTTCCCAAGATGTGATTTCCTGTTATGTGAGGAGTACCTCTCCAGGTCCAGGGAACAGCATGTAAAGGCAGTTCAGTCTGAGCTGAAGACAGAGAGCCTGATGATGGCAAAGGTGACGGAGGGGAAACAGCTCTCAAAATAGGTTTCTTTGTAGCACCTCAGACTCTCAAGAAGATTATGACAGGGTGTGAGGAGGTGGGGGTAAGGGGTGAGGGGGTGAGGGGAAAGGGGAAAGGGGGTGAGGGGGACGTGCGCTACTGCTCTGGGCAGAAAGCCCAAAAGCTTCAGTTTGCTGGGAGAACTCAGCGGGCTGTGAGCAAGTACGTGATTAAAATGCAGAGACGGGCTTGTGCTTGCAGAGAGGGAGAGCCAACAAAAGGGCAAAACTTCACAGAATCAATGTTTTATTTTTTATTTTATTTTTTCTAAGCTCGGCCCCATATTTAGACTGCGTCTCAGAGCAAAATGTGCTTGCGTTAGCTTGACGACAGAGTAGCCCACAGATGTTTTCCCATTTGACCTCCAGTGCTGTTCTCAAAGTTTACTGTCCCCTTAAGAATCATCAGCCACCCCCCCCCCCCTCCACGGGGTCCCAGCACCCCACAGGGAGTATAGAAAGCAGGCAACAACACAAGTGCATTCTCTGTTTTGTATTTATAACATCTGACATATTCTTTTTCCAGTCTCAGATAGCGTTTTAATCCTCTGCCAGCCTTTTCTTAGCCCACTATCAGCCTGTGTTTGTATTTCCAGAGCATGGGGTAAATATCAAGCCGTGCCGGTGACAGGATGGGGGGGCTTTTCAGTCTTTGCAGAGCTCATTAGAGCTGCTGATGACAGTGAAGGGATTCTTCCCTCTCACACCTGATCCCCTTTCTTTGTGGATTTGCATGCCGTACATCAAGATCCATGTTAGCATCACAAAGGCGGCGGCGTGTCTGTTGTGCACGAAGGAGCGAGAACGTGTTGATGTCAAAACACTAACACACAAGACACAGTCCCAGGTGGATTAGATAATCTTGGAAAAGTCACATGTGAATGCAGTGTGACCTGAGTGACCCTAACAAACCCGATGTCCCCTCCAGAGCGTGTTTGCAGTGGAATCACCCACAGCACACGCTCCACAAAGCATGCTCACGCGCTGTTTACACAAGTTCTCATTCCTGCCGCGTGCTCTCGAGCAGCGTGGCAGGTAACTGGATCGTTTTCTACTTTAAAGAGGATTCACCACGAAATGACATAGTCTCAGTGGAATTTACCCCAAAATTCCTCTTTTACCTTTAAAAGAAGCAGAGCCTTAGGAATCGACCAGAAATGTTTTATTCTGAACACGTAGATCATGTTTTATTTAAGGGAATTCTTCTTCGTCCATAAAATGTCACAAAGTTTTTTAAAAAAGGTCTATTTTTCTTGGAAAAAACAACCTAAATAGTTAATAAGCATGTTTTATAGATAATATTGAATAAAACCTTTTTTTAAAACAGTAAATCAACACTCTTTTGTTATTGTCAGTTAAGTTTGCCTAAACAACTTTGATGGTTTGTGTCTCCTTCAGTGTATAAATCACCCGAGTACGAGTCTCTGGGATTTGAGCTGACGGTCGAGCGGCTGGTCTCCATTGGTTACCCCCAAGAGCTGCTCAGCTTCGTCTACGACCCATCATTTCCCACCAGGTCAGATCTGAAACACGGCACAGACGTCGGGTCGATGCCCCACTGCAGCCTCTGTTGGCTCATCGCATTACCTTACCACCTTTGAACCCTTTTGGAAGGTGTTTGGCTGGTCAAATCACCCATTTATATTTCATCTACACTTTAAAACGATCTGGCAGTTACATTGTAATAACTATGAACACAGTCCAACTATCACTGGTTAAAGCACATATTTATTAAAAACTAAAATAAGAAAAGTTAAATCCTACGTTTGATTGTTTTTAATACTATCTTTCTACTTTCAGGGGCCTTGTGTTTGATACTATGTATGGAAACCTACTGAAGGTTGATGCTTATGGTAATATTCTGGTCTGCGTCCATGGATTCAACTTCCTCCGGGGGTGAGCCTTCAGCAGCATTCTCCTTTTTCTGTGTATAAGAGTTTAAGTACAAAAGATTTAGAAACCTAAGTTTTTGCATCTGTTTTTTACGCCTTTTCTTTCTTCCAGCCCAGAAATCCGCGAACGGTACCCAAACAAGTTCATCCAGAGGGATGATACAGAGCGTTTTTATATCCTTAACACACTCTTCAACCTACCAGGTAAGGTCTGTAAACACAAAGGACGAGACGGGGAGCCTGTCGTACAGAAATTATACCTGGAAAGACTTCAAAACTTGCAAAACATTTCATCCAGCCACGTTTTGCTGACACCGTGTCCTCTGGCTTTCCTCAGAAACCTACCTCTTTGCTTGCCTGGTGGATTTCTTCTCCAACTGTGACAGATATAAAAGGTGAGAAACCTTTGTTACGATCCGTATTGTGCAACAACAAGTTTCTGAGCGCCGCATGATGACACAAAGACAGTTGCAAGCCACACAGGAACCAAGCGAAAGCCCTAAAGCATGGGAGGGTCCAGGTGTTCCAGCTGCTAATCTCAGCTAATTCTTTTAAAATCATAATCAAATGGAACTTCGGTCAAACAAAAAAAACAACAACTTTTTTTTATTAAATTTTTTTTCATAATTTGTTATAGCAGATGGGGGGAAGCATGGATTCTCTGCAAATTTGGATAGCCACGGAAGACATTTTTGACTAACTTACAGAGATTAAAATCCTGATTTAACCATATAATCTTCTAAATGCTACTTTAAAGAGGTTTAATTGCCTGTAATTTTTAGTTTGGGTTTTTTTTTTTTTTTTTTTTTTTTTTTTTTTTTCTTTCGAGAATGTGACCTGGAATGGCTGCATGTCCTTTGTCCTCTGAAACCTGGTTGTTGGTCTTTTAGGGGGAGAATGCTTTCCTGTTTGGCTGGGGACCCTCCAACAAGGGAAGGCTATCCCATTTAAAAGCAAACAAAAAACAAATGTCACGTTTTTGAAAACCGTCTGTAAAGACATGGCCCGCCCGACGGCTGTGTGCGTGTGTGTCTGTGCTCCGTTTCTTTAGCTGTGAAACCGGCTTCAAAGACGGGGACCTCTTCATGTCCTACAAGAGCATGTTCCAGGACGTCCGGGACGCCGTGGACTGGGTCCACTTCAAGGTGAGACGCACCACTGTGGAGGTGCAAAACATCTATAGCAGTGTTTTTCAACCACTGTGCCTCGGCACACTAGTGTGCCGCGAGTGATGGTCAGGTGTGCCGTAGAAAATCATCCTATTTCACCGAATTGGTCTAAAAAGATTTTTTGATAAGGAATTAATTATCTGCAAATAATATGCCATTTTTGAGTGTCTGTGCCGTACTAGTGACTGGTGGCGTAATCATGTAATAATTCCTTATGACTAGATTTTGTATATGATTTCGGTTATGAAAGTGGACATGTTAAGAGCAATTTGAAATGATAAAAATACATTTTTGTGTTTATTTGATTCCTATTCAAGACACTTAAGATAAGATAAGAATAACTATAGTGTTACTATAGGCGGCTACAGATTTGTTTGACATTTTTGGTTGGTGGTGTGCCTTGTGATTTTTTCAATGAAAAAATGTACCTTGGGTCAAAAAAGGTTGAAAAACACTGATCTAGAGGTTCACCCTCAGTCTGACTCTGCTGTTTATCCCTGCAGGGAACCCTGAAGGAGAAGACCGTTGAGAACTTGGAGAAGTACGTAGTGAAAGATGTGAGTACTTAGTGTTCATCCAGGTCCCTGCGAGTGTGCGTCGGCCGAAAACACACTCTCATTGTCTCACACTCTGGTACTCTGTGAAGAGGCTGTTTTGTAAAGATGTCTGTTTTGCGTCTCTGTTCCCTTCAGGGGAAGCTGCCTCTTCTCCTCAGCCGAATGAACGAGGTTGCCAAAGTTTTCCTGGCTACTAACAGCGACTACAAATACACAGATGTGAGTATTTC